CAAACAAACAAACAAACAAACAAACTTACTTCATCATAAACAGGCAGTGAGAATATTATTTCCCTTTTTGGTGGCAGCGATGACATTTTAATACTTATGTTCCAGTTGATGGTTATCTGAGTGATTGGTTACCATGGTCTTCTTGTTCTGCTACCTGTGGACTACTAGGAACAGTGACTCGGTCACGTACCAAGGAGTGTATATACCCCGAACCAGATTGCCGTGGTGATGACTGTGGCCAACTTCCAGAAGAATATGAAAACTGCACCCAAAAGCCGTGTGGTACAACAAGTGGCGGATCACCGGGTTCATTCCAACACGACAGAGGTTAGTATCCTATTGTAACCTTCGGATATAACATTACAAAAATAGTATTTGTCTGATAACGGGTTCTGTTGCAGGTCCATCTACACAAAGCTGCACACAGTAGATTCACATCCCCGTATTTTTTTCTGTTTTTACAGTTGGCAGTGAAGTTGGACAGTTTCCAACTCAATTACAGGATTGATACAAAAATAACAAGCGTATTGCTTAAATCCGGCATTACATATCATAATTACTTTTTTGCCATGTAAGGTGTAAATCTGTATGTGCTGGCATGTTCTATCTTAAAACCGTACATTCCACATGATTTTAAGATTTTTCTTTTTTTTTCAAAACAATTGGTATTCACAATGTGACTTTCATTTTTATTTCTAGGAAATAGGCTTCATGATCTTCACGTGAATTTCCGAGGAGCTAACACAAATGTCACCTTTAGATGTGGGGTTGTACTGATTGAAAGTATCCCAAACTATGGTAAGTCGAGACTGTTTTTTCCTATATAATGGATTTCCTATTATGGTTTAAAAATGTAAAGACTTGAAGCAAGATAAAAATAAAATATTAGGGTTGGTTTAGTTCCTTACTTCCTAGCACTCAGAGGACATACCTCCGCCAAGGTACGCCCATTGCACGAGCTAAGAAACCTTTCCTTTTTTTTTTTTTTTTTTGCTCGGTGACGAACAAAAATAAAAAATCGGTCTCCATTGGCGTCGGAAATAAAGTGACCATAATGTACAGCAGTACACATTTAAAACTGACACCACGTGAAATGGGATCAACAATATATAGAGGAATCAATTACAAACTGCATCTGCTATCATAATTAATAATAATTCTCACATTAAAAACAAAATAAATAAACTAATAAAACGATAAAAACCACTATTTTGATGTGCATGTACTGCTTGGATTACGGCGTAAATATCAGAAAGCTGCCCAATCCAAAATACATAAAAACTAAAAATAGGGTGCCACAAGGAGCATTCTTGGTATCCCTATTAAAAGAAGATACGAATATCAATGAAAACAATAAAAAGACTGAACTAACAATTTTTAAAGGAATAAGAAGCGACTTTATAGAATATGGGCACAAAAATTTTATCATAACAGTAGAATCAAAGTATGAAGTTGAAAATTTTTATTTGCTGTTTGGTAATTATAAAGACACTAATAAAGTGCCCAATATGGACTTCGATTGACACATCAATTTGTCATAACTATGGAAATCCAAATACATGTTTTTTTTTATTAATTTGCTTTTAAAAAGTTTTTGAATAACGTATATTTTTGACATGTTATTAAATTGTATTTCATCATTATTATTTTTGCATTTTTAAGATACATATCCACTATGCATTCCTTACCCTCAAAAAGGCCCATGCGGAATATATCGTTTTATTTATGTTTTTCTAATTGAAATATTCCAGATGAGACCTACATTGCCAACGTGCAGGCTGCCGTGACCGACGTATGTACCGACCAATCACGTCCGGTTTGTCATGTGACAATCCCTGCCCCTTCCGGCTGCCCCTGCCAAGTGATGATAAACTACATGTGTTGCAATGAATTATATTAAATGGTAAGTGTTTATGGAAATAGAGGTTAACTGTTAGAAACAAAATGGTCAGTTGAACTAATGATTGTGAATTTCAACACTTCTTGAATCTAGTACTTCATAAATGTGCATTTTTACAAAAAAAAAAAAAAAAAAAAAAAAAAAAAAAGTTTCGTATATCACTTGGAACCTTTGGTCTCCTTTAATGATATATTGCATTTGAAATCCAAGCTGAAGTAATTATCAAATGCATTTTTTTTATATTTGCAGAGATACGCCAGGACTTCAAAAATGCTGGACAAAACGGACTTATGCAGACATTTCTCGACTGCATTTAAATATGCAGTTGTATATTATTCCCACTGATTATTAGTTAGCAGATTGAAAATAACAAAAAAATATAAAATATGGGAAAAAACTGTCGCAGCTTGCTTATTTACCAAATTCTTAAAACGCCATTCACTTCTCAAATTAACTTGAAACTTTGCTGGTATTGAGGGTCATTATGTACTTATTTCAGTTTATGTAATTTAATAATATTCTAGTGGGGTGAAATATTATGATATTTATATGTATTTATTAGTTTTAATATTTAAATATTAATGGGAAACATTCAGTTTGCTAGGAAGGCTTCAGGTCGTTTAGGTATGCCTTAAATCATTTTTTTCTTGATTCCCATAATACAATGGGTTGGTTAATTGATTTAATGATAAGTTAACCTGCCAGATTCCAAATGCACTACGTTATGCACCACTTCTGTTATTTAATATTTTAGTTGATTGATCTATCTTATTAAATATTCAGATTACAATAACATATCTTAATGTTCGTATGTACTCATTTGTTGTGATAAAGGAGTGGTTAGCTGTCTTGTAAAGTAGTCTTTCTACTTTATGCAAATAAAACTGTCGCAAATGCTTCACTTCGGTTGTTTTCCATGCCTTATTGCTAACTGTAAGTTTGGTAAGCACATAATTCCCCGATACCGTTATCAGTTTATAAAGTAACTAATTTTTGTACTACTCTTGGACCGGTGCTTTCATTTGATGGTTTATACCGTTTCTAACCAAACAAATTAGTGTAGAACAGTTTCATTAGATATGTTATTGTAATAGACTTGTTATCAACCATTTTAAAACCTATAGCAACCTCCTTGCGACTGAGGTTGCAAAGAGGTTTCCAAAAGGTTGCAAGTGCAGTGTGACCCAGGCTTAAGCGGATGTTGATTGCTTCAAGAACTTTTCGGTGTAGATCTCGTGTCTCTCTTCCAAGATCTTTATGTCTTCTATGGTTGTTGATGTTATACAATACCCTGGTNTTTTTTTTATATTTGCAGAGATACGCCAGGACTTCAAAAATGCTGGACAAAACGGACTTATGCAGACATTTCTCGACTGCATTTAAATATGCAGTTGTATATTATTCCCACTGATTATTAGTTAGCAGATTGAAAATAACAAAAAAATATAAAATATGGGAAAAAACTGTCGCAGCTTGCTTATTTACCAAATTCTTAAAACGCCATTCACTTCTCAAATTAACTTGAAACTTTGCTGGTATTGAGGGTCATTATGTACTTATTTCAGTTTATGTAATTTAATAATATTCTAGTGGGGTGAAATATTATGATATTTATATGTATTTATTAGTTTTAATATTTAAATATTAATGGGAAACATTCAGTTTGCTAGGAAGGCTTCAGGTCGTTTAGGTATGCCTTAAATCATTTTTTCTTGATTCCCATAATACAATGGGTTGGTTAATTGATTTAATGATAAGTTAACCTGCCAGATTCCAAATGCACTACGTTATGCACCACTTCTGTTATTATATATTTTAGTTGATTGATCTATCTTATTAAATATTCAGATTACAATAACATATCTTAATGTTCGTATGTACTCATTTGTTGTGATAAAGGAGTGGTTAGCTGTCTTGTAAACTAGTCTTTCTACTTTATGCAAATAAAACTTCGGTTGTTTTCCATGCCTTATTGCTAACTGTAAGTTTGGTAAGCACATAATTCCCCGATACCGTTATCAGTTTATAAAGTAACTAATTTTTGTACTACTCTTGGACCGGTGCTTTCATTTGATGGTTTATACCGTTTCTAACCAAACAAATTAGTGTAGAACAGTTTCATTAGATATGTTATTGTAATAGACTTGTTATCAACCATTTTAAAACCTATAGCAACCTCCTTGCGACTGAGGTTGCAAAGAGGTTTCCAAAAGGTTGCAAGTGCAGTGTGACCCAGGCTTAAGCGGATGTTGATTGCTTCAAGAACTTTTCGGTGTAGATCTCGTGTCTCTCTTCCAAGATCTTTATGTCTTCTATGGTTGTTGATGTTATACAATACCCTGTCTGTTCCTGGTGTTGGCTGAGGGCAGATTTTTTATCATGTTTTTTTTTATCGATTTTTGATGTTCAGCGATTATTTCTGTTAAGGAACGTCCTGTCTCTCCAATGTATTTCTCTTCACACACCTGACACTCACATTGGTATACAACTCCATACTGTTCTGCTGGGTCTAATTTGTCCTTACCACACCTAAGGGAGGGGCAGGCAAGGGGGGGAGCACTGACCAAATAGCACACCAGAGGGGGTGACAGTTTGTCACACCTGTCACAACCTCATTCCCTGATGAAATCTGACTGCAAACAGATGAAATATTGGATGGTAAGTTCAAATTAATATAAATAGCTATAGACAAAAGAATCTTCACAAGTCCAAACAACTTAGGTTATAAACGAGGAAAGATTTATGTAGGCCGCTATGGAATTGAAATGGCAGAGGGGTGTTTCATTCGGACATAACGCATAAAAAAACAATGTTGCTTTAGATACAAAAATATGCAGCAAATGACAAAAGGTATAAACTGACTTGTAAACCTAGCATTGACAAAAACTCATCGCTTTAATAAAAGTTCGCAGTCTTTGCCCTCAAAAACACATCAGCATGTCACCTTGTGTGTACTCAACATGAATTAACAATCCCGAAAATTTGAAAATGGCACGTTGGGAATCACAAGCAGATAATCAATTACGCTGTAAATAACAAAACCATGCCCTGAGTGTCAGGACACTATGAAGCTAGTTTGCTCACTATGCATACCTTTTCGTGGGGAGCTTTACAGTGTCCCAGACGAATAGCAGCAATATTGAGTATCCGCCAATCACAGGAACTGATCTGCAATGGATCTTCAGTAACAAGTCCAAAGTCAAACGTAAAGCACATGCACTTTTGCTTTATTTAATTTCATTTACTCTATTTGAGACGTAACTTGACAAATTAATAAAATAGTTTTAAAAGAAAAATATATCCCAGATGTTTTTTTTTCAACAAATATTTGCTCCTGAAGATATAAACACAATTGACGTGTGCAAAGTTTGACAGCTACACTGTATGCCTAATACCACTAAAATGACTGCACAATGGCTACACCAAAAATCAGTTTTTAAACCAGAAAGGTGCATGTGTTGCGGCACTGATTATATTCTTAGTTCAAACTTCAAACTCCACGTCAGCCACTCTGTTTATTTGTCTCGTCTGCACTAGTTGACGTCAGCTCCAGGCGGGAAAGGCAGCTCCAGGCGGGACAGATCTGTGACGTACTGTACTTAGTTTGCAGATTACATGACCGTATCAGCTGCGGACGCCAACGACCCGCTTTACGGATACCACTCTTTACCTACTTCATTTCTCGCGTTTACAAGGGCTAAACAAGACGAAGTACGTCAAACATAAGTATTAAACCGGCATTTTGTTCCTTGTGTTGTTTGTCAGTGTGACGATTTCAAGATAATGGACGTGTCAGCGCGAATCGCGTTGGTGAACAGACGCAAGTTATGTTTCAATTGTTTAGACGCGGACCCTATTCCCCATGTGCAAAGTGTCCGGTTGTGCTTATTAGCACTCGAGATTACTTCACGTATTTTCCGAAACAATTCATGTTGATCGTGACTAATATTAGTGTTCGGTCAATTGAGGCGGAGGGTTATTTAAATGCGTCAGCGTGCTTTTTTACAGCATCGGTCTCTGTGACTTTGCCCATTGTTACAGTGAGAGTGAATGACAAGATAAAAGCACTCGCGCTTTTAGATAGCGGGTCAACGTCTACTTTTATATCACAGCACTTGGCTTCTTCTCTTTGCCTCGATCGATACAAAAGATGACGTGCAGTGTCGGCTAAGTACGCTTGACCGTTCAAGGTCTATTAGGTCGGCTGCTGTTCCAATTGACGTGCCTCCTTGCAGCGACGCTACGAAGACGTACCACTTATCGAATGTGTTACTTGTCCCAACTATATAAGTTCGAGCAAACCAACCTATCCATGTGTCAGCTTCCCCGCATCTACCAGATATAAATATTGTTCTTTATGCCTTATGCATTGCCTCCTAGCAGATAAAGAGTATCGATTGACTACAAAACAAACAAACCTCACATTTAATGGGTCTTTGCCCTAGGTTTCACACCTCTCACCCTTTACAAGTTTAGCTATTCATAAGTGCAGTCATGCTATCACCACATCAACAGTATTGTGGTTCAAAAGAGCTTTAGCCACTGACTCACGTACACACGTACTAAACAACAGTGATCAATTGGCACACGTACACTTTCTACAGATAATGTCCATCAATATACTTTAATTGATCGGCTTTTTATCTTTTATGTCAATCTGTTAAGTTATAATACTCATACCCATACCCGTCATAATCCGTCGTCAGGCTTAAATGAGAGTATTGGATTTTTAATAAAGTTTGCAATAGCTTTTATTTTGTATTTTTTTCATTACTAATACTCTTTTGTCCAATAAATATTTTTTAACCTGACCACATTTATGTGGCTATATAAATGTTCACAGCCACAACGAAGCTGGTTTTACTGAAATGCTAAGAGTCCATATGAGTGAAAACGGTCAATTATTAATGACGAAGGATAATAACATAGAAAGTTACAAAATAGATGGATAATTATACATCCCCAGTACTATATAACTGCCATAACATAACGTTGATAAAGTGGGTTATTGAGTACAACCAATATTAATTAAAATAATATGTGAAACAACAACAGCCATAGAAGCAAAAAGCTAACACAACTGATACATACAAGGCCACCTTATTTACATAATTGGGGGATTATCATAGATACCCATTCTAAAGAACTATAGTAATATTAATAACAAAGTTTGGTTTAATGAGTGCAACCTACATTAAGAAAATTGACAGCATGAAAGCTGTGTGAAACAACAAAAGCTGGCACAAACCTTAACTAAAGGCTCAGAATAGTGCAAAAAAAAGTAATAACAATAATAATAAATAAATAAATAAATAAATAAATAAATAAATAAATAAAGGTCAGAAAGCAGGTGATAGCCAGATGATGTTGGAGGGTGAACAAATAAAAATGAAATAACAAAGTAATATTCCAGTGTAGCAGCTATTACTGCACTAGAGAACGGTGCGGGTAAATATCACTGCAGCTACCTGTAAAATGCTGCATAAATGGCTCCTTAATGAGGTAGCTCAATAGGAATAGCTACCAAACACATTGATCATAACAAACACATGCCCCAAAGACTATTCCCTATCAATATAATGTTTATGTATATATAATTGTTACTACCACTAGTAAGCATTCCCTACATAAATATAACTATCTTATTTGTTCTTTTTAGAGTCATTTTATAATGTATATTCTAACGGTTTTATTACGTGATTTTATTATGTGAATTATTTTTGCGACTGCATGTATGTACTATATATGTCTTTCACCCTGGTAAAAATGAAGAGATGATAATAAATGTTTATAAATATGGAAATAAAGAAATAAAGAAATTAATTAATTAATTTATTAATATAAGCCTGACGACCTTTGAATCTGAAGCCATCATAAATTTCTAGCACACAGCTTTGGCTATACAGCATCGGGAGCAAATAAATTAATCTAGAAGTATCTTTGACAGTGTCACATGATGAATAAGCTGGTTGCCAATCACTTTTATATATATACATATACTTTATCGCTGCTCACTTATTTGCAAGTTGCCGTGGGTCCATTAAGCCATCCAAGAAGACAGATAGCGTAAAGACAATCTATAGAAGAATACACAGTTATTCAAGTTATCCAAGTAAAGCAAGATTCTTCTTGGTAAGTGTGGATTTTTTTATTTTTCTACATGCAATAGCAAATCGAAGCCTAACTCTGCTCAGTTTTCTGTATCGTTATAGAAAATATAAAGAGAATGGTTTCGGAATTCTTTCATCCTTGAGCGAGTCCATTGAGGGAAACACTTGTCTTAGTGGGCTTACTTTGGTGCTGTCGTTTTAAGTGACAACTGATGAGCACCTTAAAATAGGGGAATAGCTTTGGGCTCGTCCAGCTGCATTCAGTATGTACCCTGTGCTATATTTCTGAACATTTACCTGTGGAACAGAGAAATATGAAGGTAGTTGGAGAAGCTTTTGATGAAAAGAGATATATAGAGCTTCATATGTACATTTTGCTCGAACGAAATGATAATTTGCAAAGTGTGGGTTATATGTGAGTTCGGGTAAATGAATTTGTGAATACAAAATTAAAGTTTTGGACTGGAGGAGAATTAAACCATTATTTCATTTAATGCATTTCCTATAATTTAGTTCAATGTACATTAGTTATATGGAGCGTGCTTGAAGCTAAAACTAAGAACCTGTAGTCTGTGTATGTGTACTGCGTAATTTTGTAATAATAAAAAAAAAATGAGTAAGAAATGTATACATAGTAGCTTCAACGCAAGCATTCATGATGATAATGTATTTTATACACTTACATGTGAAGTTCGGTTAAGAGTTGTGAAACCTAAATCACCCAAACGTTATAAATATATATATGAAATGTAATTCTTATCTATTAATATTCTACGACAAACCTAAAAATCACGTCCTGTGTTGTAAATTAAAGTATAGTGTGAACTGAATAGTGACTGTTATTTTTCTCATTAAAACAACGACTAATGGAAACGCACAACTCCTATATCTATTATGGGTAAATGGTATATTATGCGGGTGCTTTTATTTCGAAAAACGACAGGCAACTCAAAGATCATGACTGACTCTTAGTTACCTTGATCTGCAGTGCAGTACCGGACTCCCTGTGACATCAAGTAGTAGTTTTACTCGAAAATTCTGCCGTGTCCCAGGCACCAAGCATTGTACTTAACAGAATTTGATTTAAAAGGCAGCACGTTTCTTTTTCTTTACCACCGTTAAATAAAATCCGTTCATATATGCTTTTTACAATGCATTTGGTTTTCTTTACCTGAGCGCCATTATGTGAATATGCCACTAAATTATACAAGGTAAGCTGTCAATTTTTTACTTGACTTTTGTTTCCCGGTTGTCTTGGTTTGTTTTCTTACTAGCGGAATCTTAGAAAGGTTCAGCAGTGCACGTAACTGTAATAAAAGTTGGGTAACATAAAGAGCCGGTACATCAGCCAGGACACACATTAATATAAACCTTTCTATTTGAGTATTATTTCGGCTCTTATGGTAAATGGTGACAATTGCATTTAAGATATGATGGCAAGCTGCAGTAAGCCCCCCCCCCCCCCACCCCTATACGCGATGTCTGTCATTTGCTATATGTGTGTTGAAAATGGAAACGCAATGGTTTCCGAACATAAGGGAAAATGGCGTTGATGACAGAGCATAGTGGAGTTAATATAAAGCGTATTTTTAATAGGTTTTACAATTAAGAGTGTTTTGGGTACCACCGGACCAATCTTATTTACTTAACAAAATCAGTATAGATGGCAAAGCATATCTTCTTCATTATCACTGTTAAATTAATATCGTTGATATATAATTATTACTATCAATATTTTTTGTAATATTTATTAAATTTAATTTAATGTGTTTTTTTAAGCTGAACGTCATTGGGTTTAAAGGATGATTTCATCCTGTTTGAGAAATGATAAAAATATTGTTTAACTTTAGATTGCACGCTGCAGTAGTCCCCCCCCTTTTTTTTAGCTCCAGAACTGCAGCCTGGACGCTTAATAAAAAATGACGACAATAGAATTTAGCATTGCAAGCCGCAGCGAGCCCCCCACCCAACCCCACCGCCCTTTGAGCGACGTATATCATTTATTTTGAATGTTGTGAAAATGGATGCACGTTTTTCTGAGAAACTGAAGACAAAACAAGCGTTGATGACAATGATAGGGGTGTTAATGGGACTTTGCATTTATTTTAAGGATTTTAATCACATTAGCTCTGATTAATAGAGATTTTTACTACAGTGAATAGAATGTCTCAAAGGCATATGCCTTACAAGTACAATGGGAAGATGGGTGGTTTTATTCACTTTGACGTTTAAAAAATTGTCTCTTCAGTTTTAAAAGCATAGTGCTTAGCTTTTCTCGTGCAATAATATAGCATTGTATTTAGTTAAACAGTTAAGTGTTAATTGCTCCTGAGTATATTCTGGACACCACTTGTCCCCTCTTCACATATAAATAAATAAATAAATAAATAAATAAATAAATAAAAACAGTCTGGTTTCCTGCCAAAGAGCTTGTTTACCAGCGTCATAAAGTCCATAAGTCACTAGGTCTCGTTTCACAAAAAATCTAAAAGGGCGCTTACGTTGTTTTTAATTAGCTGCTACTCGACGAAGCTAAGCCTCCTCGGGAGTTGCCTTAAGTCTGCTAGCACCACTAAAACTCGGTAAAGGAGAACATAATCACATAACTTTGGAAAGTACATCCCGTCAATGTATTGTGCTACAATACCCGCATGAAAACGCAGTAGATACTACAGCGCAGTAGACCACTGCAATCATACTCCAAACATGCCTAAAACCTGCTTCGATTTGGGAGCTAATTAGCATATTTGAAGCGTGCTTCTGTTATGTTGGTAATCTACTGCATAAATGCTCCTCTCTGTACAAACCTATGTACTTTTTGCAGTAGGCTAGCAGTAGGCTAAAATGCATTTATACTGTAAATATGCTCCACACCACTACTGCGTTAATCCTTCTTTGCTAACTTCGATACTACTGCATTTCCGTGCGGGTATCTTGAATGTTACTGAAATATATATATATATATATATATATATATATATATATATATATATATATATATATATATATATATATATATATATATATATATATATATATATACAGGGGGGTATATATATATATATAACAAACGGAAACATCACGTACTCTTCTATACTATACTGTGACCTGAAAGGTGTCGCCATTTTAACAATTAAGACAACGACTAATGGAAATCCTCAGCTTTAAATTCAATACTAGTTGACGGATTATTTGTGGCTTATGCGGGTATCCATTAGTTCGAAAACAGCGGAGCAGTCCACGCTTATTTTGCCTTAATTGCCTTGACCCGCGTGAGTGGGTTTGCTACCCCCCCCCCACCCCCGAAATGGTATTCTAAGACCACACTTTAGCCTCTCCTTTGATAAGGAATTACTTTGTCAGCCTTTAGGTAAGGGACACTGACATAAAGGAGCTCCTCATTGGTTAAAGTAGGCCTCTGTGACACCATCCTCGTCATAAACGCCTCAGTAATGTTGTATAATTGGGGTCAACTGGTCAACTTCAATCACGCAACAGTGCATATGGACATTATCACTGCATGTGGATGTTTTGATCTAAGCCAATCTATTGATCTAAGTGACAATTTACCAAAAAAAGCAACTAATAAATAAATAAATAATGATAAAATGATAAAGAATAGTAATAAGTAAATAAAGTAGCTGAAGCCGTCTTTCGAGAAACGGAACCTTACAAAGAAATCGTCATCGGTGAAGTGCGGATCGGTAAGCACCTACTTGGCTTATTTTTGGTGTCCTGGATAAGACTTTAGAAATATTTAATATTTTCTTTCTTTGCCAACTCTAAGTCCTGCTGTCGTTTTAAATGACAACTGTGAAGATAGGATAATACCGGTAACTAAAAGCTCGATCAGCGGCAAACACTTTCACTATATTTTGGAACATTTAGAACGAAGAAATAGAAAGGAAGTTACCCCGTACACGTATATTGTTACTGTTATGTTGGAAATGGCAGAGTCATCTACCTCTGGCTAGGAGTTCAACTCTCTTGATGTACATGTATATAGGCCCTTGTGTATAATGAACGTAACAGCTGAATTTTCTTTTGAGAACTTTTAATATTCATGGGTCAAAAATATCGCAAATCAATGTCTATATATCTACGATAATTAAACATTCGGGAAATATTTACGAATGTTAGAAATTGTTTTTTTTTTCTTTTTAGTACGAAGGGATAAACATAGCTACATGTGTACAATTTGCTCAATTGAAAGGATAATTTGCAAAGTGTGGTTTACCTGTATATTCAGCTACATGAATTTGAGGATACAAAATAACACTTATGGAATGGGGAAAAATTAAAGGTGCTCATATCGAAAACAACCAATCATTTTATGCAGCGAGATAGAGCATGTTTTGAACAAAATGTAGCATAGTGCAGGACACATTACCCATTTTACCATCTAATCATTTAGTGCATTTCCTCTAAATTAGTTCAATTCATGTAAGTTATGTGTAGTGAGCTTAAACGTAACATCAAAAGCATATAGTTTGTGTATGTGTACTACGTAATTTTATTATGATAAATTAATAATAAACAGATGTAAGAAACGTATGTTGCATCATAGTGTAAATAAGACAAAGGTAGCATGCATGGTAGCTTAAGCGCACAGTCAACCATGGCAACCATCTGCAGGCAACCATGATGATAATGTAGAATGTGCACCTTACACGTGAAATTCGGTCAAGAGTTGCGAAACCAAAATGTCCCTGACGTTACATCCACGCGTTATAAAATATCAGAAATGAATTTATATAATATTCATATTCTATGAGAAACCTAAAAACCAAGTTCTGTGCTTTAGAGTATATTATACTGTGAAATAAAGCGTGACTGTTATTTTTACCATTAAAACAACGACTAATAGAAACACACAACTCTATAATGGTTGTTTGGTATTTTATACGGGTGCTCTTAATTCGAAAAACAGCAGGCAACTCAAAGATCATGATTGACTCTGAGTTACCTTGATCTGCAGTAGCAGGACCGTTAGTGTTCTCTCGGGCTCCCTGAAACATTACG